GCCATCACTAATGCTGCCACCTCTACCCTCACCACCGCCACCGCCACCGCCTCCACCACTGCCACGCCCACCACGCCAACCACCACTGCCATCGTCGCTACAGCTACAGCCACCGCCACCATTGTTGTCGCCGTCGTCACCACCACCATTGTTGCCACCATCGCCACGGTCACCACGGTCATTGCCACTCATCACAGCCATCACCGTCTCCTACCACCACCACTGCTGCCCACCACCTCTCACCTCCCACTATAAAATGGATATGAATACAAATATGTTTATTGTTTATCATTTTTTATTACTTTGTGTCTTCAGGCACAAACAATAACTAGTATATATATATATATATATATATATATATATATATCACATGTTAACAATAAGTCGATATCAGGAACCACGTCAATATCACCTTGCATAGAATATTTTGTTAGGTTTGTTTGTACCTATCGGATCAAATGCCGTTCCAATGACAAATCTACGAAACTCATTGAATCAAAAACTTTTCATGCAGAACCAAACTTCTAGAAGTAAAGCCCATTAGTTGTATATATCTATCTTCCCCTTTTGGACTTTGCAAAGGCTGAGCTTGGCTTTCACTTTCAGCTTGCTCAAACTTTCGGCCATTTGGTTCCTCTGCTGAACTCGTTTACCTTCTTTCTTGTTAGCATTACCATTTACCACCGCTCTACTCAGGTTGGCCCCCAACCGTAGACTCGAAGAATACAATTCCTATATATATATATATATATATAGATATATATATCCAGCAAGTCCGAAAGGCGAGTCAGAACCCCATTAATTCTTTGCAATCTCACAGCCCCAATGGTTTAAGTGGTGTAAAATTACAAGCTTGAACAGAGCAGATTATCTGACATTCGTATAAAACACAGGTTTTTCTTCAGCTTTTTCATCCTTCAAAAAGGTTGTTAAGCCTTCAGAGGTCACAGTTATGATGCATTATTATTTTACCATAAAACCAGCTCAAATTCATTTGTTTAATTCTATTTTTCTTAATTTTACCACAAATTTATTTATTATTATCATTTCTGCAATATAATTCCCGAACATATTGTTTCTTAATTGTCCACTATTCAATACCCTAAAACATGACAGGTCTTGTGACTTTTATGATATAGTTTTCTCTTCAATTTAAGAGTTGCGCATCTATCACAAAGTATACCAGATACATCGTTCCATACAGTCTATCCTATTTAGGTATATGACTAATATCACCACAAATCTCACACTCTAGATAATTGACCTCAATTTTCGAATGTATTCACTCTTCAGCATAGAAAACTTCGAATAAGAAAAATAATACTTTGCCCCCACACACAGATATATCCGCATAAATCTATCCTATATGTGCTATATGATGTTACCAGGCTAGAAAACTCATGTGCATGTCTGAATGCAACATTGATATTGCCCCTTTTTCTAATCAAGGTCACAATGTACGGTTCGCAGTCTAAACCTCCCAATACCTAGTACTTCCCCCTCCTGATCCAACGAGCATTGCTGCTACATGTCCAACATCTGACATGAAATCGCAGACTGCTCATTTTTCATGTATGATCAGCTAGCACAAACAGCCCAAGTGGAGGGAAGCCTGTTTGAAGTCAGAGCTGGCATTTGTCGCACATTAACGTCAAAGGGCAGCATTCGGTATTGAATATCAAGCTCCGTGAACACTTTGATCATCTCCTCAATCAAAAGAGCCCTCCTTGCCCACCTCTCACCCATGTCCTGGTGGTTCATTGTGTGTGAAAGCCACAATGATATTTTCAGCCTGTTCATGTCCTCCACGTCCCTCAGGACTATCATCGGAGCTGGGTACCAGTGCTCGCTCTTATTTTCAATATACCTGCAATCAAGGCAACCATATCATACAGTAGATGAGAGACATAAATCTATTAGCTAGTTTATAGACTTGACACAAGACGGAAAAATACTATTAAAAACATTGAACTCAAAGTATGCCAGTAGCTCTCTGCAAATCTACCCAAGCCATTGTGCTATAATCCTCGTAAGGTAAACAGAAGCAACCTTTTGACATTATGCCGCAAAAGCTACATAGACGAGAGAAAAACAAATGAGGAAAAAAATAAGCATATTCATGAATACCTCGTTATTCTCTCTTCATCATAGCAATCTTTTCCATGGGAGTTGAGATATGGATACAAAAGTCAATTGCATCTCCCATATCTGGACTGCGATAATAATTACTGATGGGTTTGGTAGATAGTACTGCATTTGGATATATGATCTTCTGGTTATCATACCTCAGAAAAACCGTTGTCAATATATTCATCTCTTCGACTATCATCTGAGACTCAAAATAAATGGAAGTTACAGCCACAAACATTTGATAGAAATACATGCTTAAACGCACATGTAAGCAAAATGGACATGATTTTAGCTTTAATGCGTAAGGTCTTACCTGAACTCCTTCCACTTCAACGCGATCACCCACATCAAATGGATGCATTACGAATAAGAAAATGATTGCCTCAAATGTTGTCTTGCATGTGTTTCCAAACATGAAGACCACCAAAAGAAGCTGGGAGCTTAAAAAGATAAGGAAATGGGTAGTGGTAACCTTGAGTATAAGAAGCCAGATAACCACTATGACCATTCCCACAAGGACATTCAACATATGGTGGAGTGTGTTTACAGCTGTTTTTGTGTCGTTGAGAGACAAAGCAAGGGCTCTCCGTTCTCGGAATGCATTGACCTGGAAAAAAAGAAAATCATAATATCCTTGTACTGTCAAAGAATAACACATACATAGACAACATGTCAGTTCAAAATATTGAAATTGAAAGGAAGGATAGATTGTTCGAACTTAATCCAACTCAGTTAAGCAGATGGGAAGTAATATGGCTGGAAGGGAAAGATCAGGATACTGAAGTCTCCGATATAGAGATGGGACTATTGATTTGAAAAATGCCATCCTATCGAGTTCTCAAGCCTAATTGAGGATGTTCAGTAAGATGGCCATGAATCAAGGCCAGCTTGCCTTAGATAATCCAGATAATAACCAACATACATCAAGGTCAGAATCTTGTTACCATGAGAATTGGAACCTAAGCACTAAGCAGATTATCCAAGCAAAACATGGGAAGTTCAAGCCCCATCTGGTTACCGTTTCGGAAGACTGTAAAGATAGATACAGATCATGTTATTATCAATACTGGAAAAAGAGAACCATTTTTGTTATACTGATTTTCTGCATTCTGAATACAGCATGTATGAATTTTTTTTTTCTTTCAGATTTCCCAAAAAAAAATGAGGCTTTACCAAACAAAACTAGTGGTCTTATAGAGTTCACCAATCTCCTCTTTCATTTGTTCATTTAAGATGGTCTTATAAGATCTTACAATTGACTATAATTCCATTCTCTTGATGACTAGCCTTACCACAGATATCAATGATATGTG